GTTTCTTTTTAGGGTTCAAGAGTTCTTCAGTGTTCTCTATTTTCTGTGTTATTTCCACCCCATAATAAACAGAGCTATTGAATTTTTAATGAATTACTTCGTATGCTTATCAATTTATGCATTTACTCCCCCAGGTCTTATGTTATTTGCATCTCCATAAATGCTCCTTTTACATCCAACACAGCCCACTGCTGTTTGCCATTATTTCACAATGAATAATTGAATCCAATATGATTAAAATGTGTTTTTTTTGTACTCAGCCTGCTCTATCTACTTTGCATGTCAAAAATTATTATTACAATCCAAAAATCTTGACAATTAAGATCTTTATACTTACGAGATATGCATTTTTACATGGTATTTTGAAAACTTTCTACAGACCTTTTTATTATAATCCACTATTGTTTTGGTATTTTTTTGTATGAATGTGATTGTCAGGGTTTGGGGCTTTTTTTATACTTGTTTACTATCTGAAACTGTAAATATTGAATTAAGGGATCAGTGCTCCTTTGCTGAATTTGTATCAACAAATCTGTTTTTCACACAGTCAAAAGAGAACTTTTTGAAATCTAATTTTATGCTTCACATTTTAATGGTCTTCATAATTATTTAGAAAGTCTTAATCACAGTAATAGTCACTTACTGCCTTGCTTAAGGCAAGTCTCCTCCTCTGTCTGTTCCCTGTAATCTGATGTGGGGGAAAAAAAAAACAAACCAAAACCAAAACAGCAACAACAAACTAGTGATTTACTAGAGGACTATTATAAATATGAATCTGCTAGTTATAGATCACATTAATCTCTGACATCTCAGATTAAGGTGCAGAAGATCCAGCCTTTTAGATGCTTGAGGCCAAGAGACCCATAATAATTGAAAATGGCATCACAGTTTCTTCTGTCGTTCATGAGAAGAGTCAGAGCCTTTGGAACGGATGCTAAAGGAGAAAGCACACTCCACACATGACGGCAACTGTGAAGAAAACATTGGCCATGGTGGCAGATGAGTTCTGATTTTCATTTAACATGTTTGCATTACATTCCCTTCCTGACAAATCAGTGGAGTTCTCTGCTGGGTCTAGACATTAATATTTATCTAGTGTTTTAATATTTTTACTGTCACCAGAAGTGGTAGTATTCTCTCATACTGAAACATTGAAATATTAATGTGTATTCACTAGGATCTAGCAGTTCATATTCTCCATGTTTCTGTCATGAAGAGAAACCTCGAGCAATCTAACTAAGAAAAATTACAAATCTATTTAAAATTACAAACTTAAGGTAGCGAATGTCTCTAATCAAAGCTATTCTTGTGAAACTCAACAGAATTTCAGTGAGAATTGGGAAGACGAAGAAGAATAAAAAAAATACTTTTGGACAGATTTACTGAAGTGCTGTACTTCTGGCATGAGGGACAGTTATTGAAGTTGTCAGTATACAGCAGGATAAAACAACAGCATGCTTGGGTGGAAGCTGCATCCGAGTTTCTAATGATTGTAAGTCTAAATATGAAAAAGTTTTTTAAACATCTCATTCCAATCTGAGCAAGCCACAGAATGTAGTAACATTCTGATTAGTAAGTGCTGTGGTAACATTTAGTAATCCACTTTGACAAAGAAGACATGAGCCAAGACCCATGTTTCTGCTGGCTCTACAGAGGTGTTGTGGCAGTCCTGACCAACACACTTAGTCCAACATGCAGATGACAAATCTGCTCCTCCTCAGGATGCCCAACAGCCTGACCAATATAGAAGGAAATATGCTTTGGAAACATTAATTCTAAAGCACTGCTTCTCACTCCTGGGCCAAGTTGTACAAAGGTTAGCACAGACCACTTGCAAGTCCTTCTACTTAAAGTGAATATTAGTCACAGAAGCTAAATCTATACTAACAAATTAAGCATGTATGGGACTGTTCGTAGCACTGTAGCCACCTGGCAAGGACCAGACCACATCCACACTATGAAATTCTTTATCGCCCTAAAACAGGATGCTCACATGCAAAGGTTCTTTACAAATGCCTCTTCACCCATGAACTGCTCCAGGTATGCAGCTGGAGCTCCAGCTCCTCCCAAACAGGAATTGCTTGGGAGAGTGCTAAATGGTCCATTTAGCAAAAAATCCATGGTCGTGATTATTCTAAAATAAATTAAAAATACAGATAATGGTGTTCGACTCTCTGGGAATGTTCTATGATATTTACTCCTAGTGAGGTGTAGACTGGACAGTTTGAGTTTAACTGAGAATATGGAACTGAATTCACTTAAGGGACACTGAGTGATAATATTGTCCTGCAAACAGGCATTACTGTCTTCCTGGATTTATCTCTGCCCATTGACACATGATTGTCTCTTCTGAAGTAGAAATATAGAATAATTCTATCTTCTCAATTTTCCGGAAGAGAATGACATGAACTTAGTCTCTGCCATGGAAAAACAGGAAGTATGGGACAGGGAAAACTCTGCAGTAGAAGAGTCTAGGTTTCTTTTCTTCTTTTTTTCATTAGATTTCCAGAGTTATCATCCTATATATCAATCTCTGAGAATATAATTGCTTCAAACCCTGTTTAGTCTGACCTTTTGCCATCCAACCATTCTCCAAGGAAAACAAATTTATAATGAAAGTAGCATGTGAGGTGCTAGAGAAGGGAAAAAGTTTGAAAGTGATCACAAAACACCACAGCAACTTTTTTTTTTAAGTTGCCTGTGGCTCAGTAATATCCATGGGGCTTGTACAAGTGTGCCTAGAAACACAGACTGCTAAAATGAAGTCATTTATGATGCTGGCATAAAAGCTGAACAAAACCTTGAATCTCCACAGAGGTTCAGTATAGTAGTAGTAATGTAAAGCTGTTTTTCTTGGTTTTACTTGCTTTTATATTTAGTGAAAACACGGTGAAGTCCTATAGTACCTGCTGTGGAAAACTAGAATATGGTGAAGATTAATAGTCCAATGTCAAAAGCTGTAATTTCATTGCAAAGATTTTTTTACTTCAATCTTTTATTATTTACAGGTTGTAGTAAGCTGAAGAACCCATTTGAAACATTTCCACACTTGACCATGTTTACCAGCAATAAGGAAATAATTGGATATGAATAATGTGATAAAGAAACACATAGATGATATTCCTATATCGCTTAAACTGGAATTGCCTCTCTACTGGGACCTCCTCTGTTAATACAGACTGAGAGTGGAGGATCTACACCTCTTCCCAGACACTCTGAAGAGCTGGATGATAAGAAAAAGCACCATTTTTGTACTCTTTTCTGTGCTTGGCTGTAACTAACTTCTGCTACAAGGCTGAAATGGGGGTGGGGAAGGGCATTGGTATACAAGGGGATAAAGGAGAAGGGGAGAAAAGAAAAATGGATAAAAATGACTGAATGAGAAGAGTATCAACAAAGTAAAATGGTAGAAGGAATAAAAAGAAGGAGGACCTTTAAATTACAGAAAACTATATGGCATAATTTCTGTACATTTCTATTTAAACAGTGTAATAACGCCTTTGGATAAGTCACAAGGAAGAGAGTCATCCTGCTTCCAACAGGCTTACTTCTCAGAGAAATAAGCACCTTGGTGCTTAATGTTTCCCAGGCTCAAGGCCTGAAGTAATAAAAGGTCACCAGGAAAAAAAAAAAAAAAAAAGTGTATGTCACAAACTAGATTTTTTCTCTCTTTGAAAAACTGATTGTGTTCTAAGAGCATTGTTCACATTACACCTTCAGTGCAATGTCTTCACAAGAGTGATTAATTTTTCCTGTTAAGTCTCTCCCTACATGACCACTACTAAAGAGCCAATGTTTGTACACACTTGGTAGTTAAAGGACTCGTTGCATTTGGGATGTTCTACCACTTAATGAAGACTCCAGACCTCACAGCCAACACAGCAGTAGAAGAACTCCTTTCATTTTTCTGAACCAGACCGCTAGCAGATGGGCTTTTTTCAGCCTATAAATTTGGCTTCTTATTTATGAAGTCTCTGATGTTAAGTTTCTGAATTTTATCGAGCTGCTCCATCTGTAATCTGTCTCCTAAAGGAAAGTATAGGGAACCTATGTGACCTACAAAAACTAGGAAATGTACCGTCTCGGTATAAAGTCTTCTCAATGGGAAACACTTTTTTAAAATACGATTTTTGATAGTTCTTTTTTATACTAGTCTATCTCTGCCTAGATGAAACTTCAGAAATGACCAAATTCCCAAAACCAAAATTATAACTTTGACCACCAAACCAACATGCACAGGCAAGCACTTCAAATGAATGAAAAAAGAGACATTTTTTTTCATCTCTTTTTCATCTCCTTTTCCTCTCTTCGTGTTTTAGATCGAGGAATACTGAGCGTCTAGAAAACTGTTTTTCACTGTTTTTCAAACAAAGACTATATATACTATTAATTCTGAATGAATTCAGAATTAAAAATTAAATACAATGTAGAATAATGGCCCTGTTCAATTTGCTACTCACAGCTTTAGCTTTCTAAACATATTTCATGATCTCTTCCTATTTAATACAGATAAGGCAAACATTATATTACTTAATTACTTAAACATTATATTATATACTTAAAAGCATAAGATGAAAGTTTTCAGAATATTATTACATGTTTTAAGGACTATGCCCTCAGTAAAATCTTGCATTACAGGAACTGTCGGTTGTATCAACATATTTGAAAGCAACCAAATCGATCGCTAGTTGTTTAGTTTCTCAGGAAAAGAAATGTTACACGAGTTAAATGTCACATTAAATTAAAGCTATAAAACCCATACAGCATTATGGAAAAATAAAATACTTTCCTAGTAAAAATCAGTTTATTTCCCATTTTGCCATGGCTTCTAGTTTGGCTGTGTATCTACTGACACCAGGACTTCCGATACTGACTTCAAAGGCAAAAAATGGATCTCTTTCTGCAAGGTGGTCACATGCAGTTTCCCGCTGCAGTGCTATGCTTGAGATTGTTGACTGGTCTGACAAAGTGGTAATTTATTTTATAATTTCTCATCATACCTTGAGAATTTTGCACATTATCTCATAAACTGAAAACGTTTTCTCAGCTCGTGTCCAATCCCAGGTTGTAACCTTTGAAACAAACAAACAGGAAAGGAAAGTGGTTATTTTTGTTTATTTCAAGAATTAAGTTTATCAAGAAAAGAAAAAAACCTACCCCTAAACCATTTACATCTAGTCATTGTATACAGAAAGACCAAGAACAGCCTCAGGGCAATAACTACCAGGGACCAGACTGTTCCGTCCAGGCAGCGCTTAGGAGACATCCTTCCCATCTCCTTGTGCTTACAACACAGTGCCTTTGCATGCAGGCTGCTCTGTGCTGAATGATGGGGCTTGCCCTGGAAGCTGGTGGGGGTTGCATTCAGATCCTGACAGGAGGCAGCCCATGAGTTCCTCTCAAAGACCCTTGACTATAAGAAGGCACGTGTCTCACCACTTCCCTCCGTGTAACTGCATGCCACAACTTGTTCCCAGCCACCTACATTGTCTGCAAATCCATAACACCAAATTCTCCAACCTTGCAATGTCCCAGACACTTATCTCACATACCTTGAAATCCAGGGCTGGGGGGGGCGGGGGGAAACGATCAAGGAACAACAGAGGCAAATATTTTTTTATTTGCCTTTATTTCTTACCAAGAGAAATCTACTCCTAAATTCTAACAAAGTAAGATATGAAGAATAGTCTATTTCTCCTCTTTGTGTCAGGATTTGGAAGTTGCTTTTAATGGTGTTAATTTTGAGCAACTATTTTACATAAAAATCACATAGATAATAGAGTTCAATAAAATCATGCAAGGGTTAGGCTTAAGATTTAAATAAGACAGAAAGGGATAGATTAATATATTCAGTAAGGGAAGAGTCAAGGTGATATCACAGCAATTTATAAAAGACTTTCCAAGGAAACTGCAAGAAGGAAAGAGAACGATCCAGATTCTATATATGAAAGGCTATATATAAGGCTATATATGAAAAAAAAAAATCTTAATGGTAAGAAGTTTTGAAAGGTGGCCCAGAACCAAAGGAGGGCACTTGTATCACTACAATTGTTTAGGCAAGATGACGAGGGTGGTGAAGACAGAAGTTTATTTGGTTTTCAACATTCAAGAATATAAAGTTCTTTGAAAAATGTGTTATAAAATGGTATCCAAAGCATATGAAGTAAGTATTACATAAGACTTATCTTTTATCTAAAGAGAAAAAAATCATTAGTTGACACAACATGGCTGAGAAGCATCTATGGGTTTGGATGTCTTCCTATAAACCTTTCTTTATCAAAATTATTTTGGTGTTTTATGAAAAAATTACACCCTTGACTAATCTTTAGGTACAAACACTATTGTAACTGAAACGCCTTTGAGGAAATCACATTCAGGAAGGAAAAGTTTAAAAATACAGTGTTACAGTTCCTTTACTATTAAAATTTTATTTATTTGCAGTGATGCTCACACTCAGTTTTCACACACTGTGAAGTATGGGTATTAAACCAGATTTCTAGGGAAGGGAATGACTAAATTCTGAGAGTCAACAAGTTGTTTGATATAGAATGAGGAAGTAAAGAAATGTTGGAAATATACAATCTTTATGCCTGAGTTTTAAGAAGCTATTCAGAGATGTGATGAATAACACGTAAAATGCTTTTGTCGGAGAAATAAAGGGAAAAAATAAAAAGAAAGCTGAGCTTTCTACTGTGGACAATAAATTAACTTTCCCACCATAAACAGAGAAATGGGGAGAGGAGTCTTGCTACAGCTTCACTGAGTAGAAAAATCAGCTGTGCAAACTGATTATTGGCCCATCAGGAAAAGTAGCTACTATTACTGCTGAAGCTCAAAGCCATTCAGAGCTATGTCTAAAAGCTCACTGTAGACTTTTTTTGAAAAATATCAGACTTCCCCCTTCTCTCCTAGTTGTCCACTTTTGTTTCTACTTATAAAGGGACTAATTTTTAGGTCAAATCAAAATTCTTCCTATGCAAAGATATGTGCAAAGCAAAAGCAAATGTAGAATTAAGACACTCATAGAAATTTCTTGCCCTGTTCACTACTAATATTTTAATTTAAAAGCTTGAGTAGCAAGAGAAAAGGTGTTAGCAGCTCTTTCTCAGTTAAGGTTCATTCTCCCTGAGATTTCTAACTATGAACTGTAAGAACGTGAAACCCACCAGACTTAATACACGATAATTCTAAAGGAGAAAATGTACCAGGAAATAAAAGTAATTTTTTTAAAGCTTTCAAAATGCAAATAAGATATGTCAGAATTGCTCATTTATCCGAGCATGGAAAGTAGAAGTACTATTGATTAAACAGATGAAAGAAGGGGGCGGGGAGGGGGGTGGTGTGTGCGAGATACACTGTTTAAACACTGACTTCCCTAATGTGCTAGACTTTGGCAGAGACCAGGGAAATACGATAATTTGATTTTCTGGTTAAAATGTTGGCAGCACATCTGTGTTCTGAAAACAACTTAATTTAAGAAGTTTACACTGCAAATATAATTAAAATTGTTTTTCTTCTCATAACTAGAGTTTACACATCTCATAAATAGAAGCTCTGAAACTGTGGCATTGAAGGTTTGTTCTTAATCTTTCATAATCCCTGGAAGAGATGAACACATATACCTGCAGAATAGCAAACATAACTGTATGAGTAGAAGTCTGCATATGGAAAATAGGATTTTAGAAGTAATTTCAAAAGGCCTTTCAGGTACCTTTCAGGTAGAAAGGAAGTATTTGATAAGCAGATAATTTTGATGGCCATATCAGTGTGCAATTATTAAATTCAGCTTTTTAAGGAACTCTTCTTCTGTTTTTCTTTTAAATATATGTCTATCATTCTGCTCTCTTCTAGTCCATGGAGAGAAAATATTTTTCTCTATGTTTGAGCTGTCTTTCGGTTTTAGAATAAGAACCAGAATCTGACAGAACAAAATCAAGATGTGCTTGCAGCTCAGTTGAAACCAGACCTATAAAGACTTCGAGGATAGGTAGCTTTTCTGATACAGCAGCAGCTTGCCAAAATTTCCTAACTCCCATCACTGTGGTTCACAGTTACAAACATGTTCCTCCCACACCCATTAATCATCACCCACTACCCATTTACCTACAAGCATATTAATCCTGGAAACTTTTGACAAGATGGCTTTGAACTACCTAAGGAAGAAGCTGCCCAGAGAGGTGGCAGATGCTCCATCCCTGGAAACATTCACGGTCGGGTTGTAGAGGGCTCTGAGCAAGCTGATCTAGCTGAAGATTTCCCTGTTCATTACTGGGGGGCTTGGACTTGATGAACTTTAAAGGTCCCTTTCAATCCAAACCATCCCACGATTCTATGATTCGGGAAGGAAGGAGCTACAGCCTGGATCTGGCAACATAGGGTTTAACAGTCAGAATGGTCATCCAATAAACACTCTCCCTAGTGCTGGTATGGAACGGCTACTGGATACTTAGCTAACTGTGAAAGTGAATTGCTGAGTATGAGATAGCAGCTAAAATTTTGCCCAGTGTTGCTAGTCAGATTCCAATTAATATAATTAATCCAAATAATTTAATTTGCTTCCCTACCTTCCATTTAGTGCTCCCAAGAAACATAAGAGTTATATTCAGGATGAAACCTAAATACAGAGATATTGACATTTCCACAGCATGCAGAAAGTTTTGATATTTCCCCAAATCTCAACGGTTTGACTAGAATGATAGTTCTGCTTAAACCTAGCCATCTTGCTTCAGGCTTGTTCTGCCTGCCAAAGGAAAATGAAAAGCCCCCTTTTAGCACAGGTAGATTTCTCTTGTATTTTTCTAAGTGCTCAGGTAAGTGTGGGGAAAAGAAATTCTTGTTAGATGCCCACTCACCTGATGAACAGCTATTTTCTATCACTTCTATATCACATACTCTGGAACTTTTCAGTGCTATAAATTGCAATCCTGCTAGCTCATTGAGTGATATCTCATTGTGAAAACCTTGTATATATTACATGTTATGTAATGTAACGTATTTAATTATTTAATTAAATAATATTTACTCCTACTAAGCATGAGAAATATACTTACTGGAGGTGCTATAAACTTATACAGCGAAGATCCCCTCAGTGCCAGAAACTTTGGTGTGTACATTCGATCCTGAAGGGAGTCTTGTTCCCGTTCTTCCGTCCAGCCCATGTAGACTATCTGACAGAAAAATCAATAGTGTTGACAAATTCCTCAGACATTTTCTTCAAATGAATTGCAAAGATGCCATCCAAGTAAGTTGATGCCTGTCAAATTTTACATAGCTACAAACCTTGAGCCACTGACATAATATAGTGTATTGGCAGTTCACTTACAATCACATACTTGTATAAAGGATGCCTGTTATGACAATCAAAAAAAAATAAGAACAAATATTTATTGTCCTAACTTTAACAAAAAAGCTAAACCACTCACTCAGTGTATGTTAAAGGTCTATTATCTCATTACAATCTTTCTGAAGTAATTATACATATTTGCTGAGAGAGCACGTCAGAGAAATTTAATACAAGTGATGGGCAAGGAACCCATAGGCAGGAATACAAAATCAAGTAACTGTTGCTGCCCTGCAATGTAGATGGTCTCCACATACAAGTTCTAAATCATGCATTAAACAATATGATCTTACAGATTTTATTTCAAAATAATGAGAAGCTGCTTTTTTTTTTTTTTTTGTCCCTCTGAAAATACCTATGTAGGAGTTTTGAACCTTCTTCCTTAGGAACAACAAATTAACAGGCTGTTTTCAGACACTATTTTAAACAGACGTCATCTACAGCTAAGTAACCAGAATGCTGTTGACTCTTACCACTATTCGTAGACCTTCTGTCACAGACATATAAACTAAAATTTATTCAATCCCATTTAAGGATCTAATTCCCTATCTATCCATCTATTAAGCATAAGTAATCTAATATCAAATGCTTAAAGAGTAACAGAGTATGAGTCACCACTATGCCAACTTCTGGAGAACATGTGAACAAACAGTAGACACATCATGCAACTTTTGATTTATAACCATGCCATTAGTAATAAAATACAAATCTCAGCGTGCACACGTACACTACTGCTATGGAAAATAGATCAGCTCATATTTCACATAGTGCTACTAATGGAACAGACCTATTTTTAAATCTCTTTGTGGAACTAATTTCTACATAAGCTAGGCATGCAGCATTCTCTGTCTTAAATGTTAGTAATGAACATGTAAGAAAAACAGTTTGGGAAAACTAACTACAGTCATATTAATAGTCACCGTGTTACTAGAAGTGAATGTTTGTACTGCATGTTTTATCCTTTGACATTTTGTATGTTATGTATCTTTAAAAAAAGTTTATATAATTTCATTTCATTACTGTTGTGAAGAGGATTTTCATCAACATTTCTTCATGGAATGTACATTAAAAAAAGGGGTCATCTGTTTTGGTTTTTTTTGTTTTGTTTTGTTTTGTTTGTTTGTTATGTGGGTTTTTTGGGGGTGTGTGAGGTCTTTTGTTTGGTTGGTTGTTTTTTTTCCTGTTGGATTGTATTGTAACAAACTGGACATTAGTAGCTTTATGAATTAGTAGCTTTAGTACCATTTATGAAATCTACATTACTGGTCTCCATCACATTTTATTAGATGTTTTATGGTCTATAAACAGAGACAGGGAGAATGTCCATGCCTCTAACACTTACAGTGAAACCTCAACATTTAATGCTCTTGCCAATAGCAAACACTAATGTTGTAATACAGTCTCAAGGCGAGTGAATAATGTGTTTAAGTATCTGCTGGTTTAGCAATTAAACAAGTTTATAAAACTTGTAAAAATACCCCAAAAGACAGAGCTGTACCACAATACTCAAGAAGCAAGCAGAGTGCTCAACACTATATTGTCATGCAATAACAAAAAAAGCCACATTCTCTGAAACTTCATTCATTCCTAAATGAAGAAACAGAAAAACACCCAATGGAAAGGTACAGTAAGAGAAGTTTTATGTTATTTCAATTCAATGTTTGTTCAGATTTAAAGCAGTGTTAAGTATGAATTCCATCCCTCTGACTTGGTAGGAATCTGAAGAGCTCAGTGACTGAGAGGAGCTACACAGAAAAGTAAAGTTAGTATGAAAAATAGTACTACTACATGCAGATATTTGACACATTTTCCTCTCTGTAATGGATAGAGAATGAATCATGTCTAATTTCTAGGAATTGGGACAACTAAGCTTTTAAATTAATTAAACTGAAATGATTTTGTTCTGTCTTGATTTGTTTCATTAAAGTCAGACACATAGTAAGATATCATCTTGCCTGATGATATTTACTATCATTGCAGCACTGTATATAATCTGTTTTCAGTTAGTGTTTCTCTTTTTCACATTCCTCATTTCTACTTCTACTATTCACCAGAATAACAGGATACAGTTGCTCATGCTGCGCAGATGTATTGATATTTCACATCTGATTGCCTTAATACTAAAGCAGTCATGAAATTTAAAGCAATTGCTCCTTTAGATATTTCTCCCTTGCGTCTGTACATCACGAGGAGAAATGAGATTGATTTTTCAGACACCCTGCTGTACCAAGGTTTTATTAAGAAAAAGGCATTTCTCCTTCAGACTAAATACCTACTATTTAACATATAGAAGAACAGTTAAGCAAAGTTTATATGATTGTAATTAGGAATATTTACAAAGTTGTTTGAGTGTACTGTCACATATACATGTGTTGATTAAAATAGCATGGGCTAGATTCTGGAAAACAGGGCAAAACTGAACAAATACTTGATAACTAATTTGCTTATGAGTTCTTAAAGGGGTCTGCTTATCTAAACACACTGAACATGTGAAGTTATATAAAATATTGTAATTTTTACATAATGAAGCTGAGAAATGAAAATTTTTCACTTATGAGACAGAATAGAGGCCACGTTCTTGAGCCATTTACATTGCCAGCAAATATTTTGACTTCTAAAAGAGCTTTGAATATGAACAATTTTAAGAAAATCTTTTATTTGGAAAGTGATCCTAACTTTCCAATGTCATAGTTAATGTGTATATATGTATTGAAAAAGTGGATGAATATGTGATTTGACTTTTGAGTTTTGGAACATATCTTAATGCTGTACATGTGGACTTGGCCTAAAATATGGATTATTATGAAATTCCATCTGAAAAGAAATGTTTACAACCACAGACACATGGAAATATGAATGAAAATAAATGGAAATAAATGTGAAACTCAAATAGTGCATAGCATGCCCCTTAAATATAAAAAACTAGGTTAGTTTTATAATCTTAGAAAAGTTTTTTTGAGTCTCTATAAACTGCTGACCATTATCAACAAAGGGGGGGTGGTGGGGAAAAAAGATTTTATTTGTAATAACATTCCACATAATGGTAATTTTTTCCTTCCTGGTTTCTAACTTACCTGAAGCAGCTCATTCTTCAAAATCAAATAGTTATGCAAATTAGTTTACTTATTGGCTGCTGGTTCATTAACAACATTTCAGGAAGTTATTATCGTTTATGACTTAAATCATATACAGTTTAAAAAAAGTCTATATCTAAATGATAAATGAAACAGGACACTTTCTTCAGTCAAAAATCCATAATATCCTAATTTAGTATGTACTTACTTCACACGGACATCCTTATCAAGCAAGACAAATTGCCATAAATTGCCATATTTCATATCAGTCCATCATATTGTTAAAATTACTTAAACAGCCTTGACTTTCAGACACATTGCTCTAGCGTTTTTACACTAATTTTACCATATTCTAGGAAGAATGCTAGGATAAAAATACAAGAAAATTTCCCCAAATGAAATGTAAAATGTATGTGACATTAAATGAGTGAAGTGATTCAAAGATCAGAACAGATGTACTGAAAGCATTTTAACTTGGAAGTCTCATGTTCATACTCACATTATGTGAAACAGCGCTGTAGGGCAACTGGACCAACACGGAGTCAGAAGACAAATGAGTATGTCAGACAACACAGGGACAAAATGATGAGAGATGAAGAACTCATATAATGCTCTCTATCCTGGTTTTAATATCGTTTTCTCTGTAGGACAATCTCAAAATTCATTATAGTAAATTTTTAGAAGAAAAAAAATAAAGCTACACTAAGATGGAACAAAAAGTATGACTGTAATGCAATCACTAGCAAAAGAAGTCCTGTATTTAAAAGGGTTAGGATTTTCATGCTGAGTAGGAATTTTTCTTCACAGTCATCAGAAGAACTAATCATATACAATATACACAACTTTTTTTAATTCCTGTGGATTATTTTCTACCTTCACAAACAAAGTCCACTAAAACAAGGCATATGAAAAATAATCTCAAAGAAACAGAAGGCAAATGGCAATGAAAGTTATTTTACATATGTTTCAGGTTAGATTTAATGTAATTTCAAATAAATTAATTTGCTTCATTATGTTTTGTGAAAAATAAACATCAGTAATGGTCAGCATTTTCTAGAAAATTACGCCATGAAATTATTAGTAATAAAGGAAGAGCTTTGGCAAATATCCCATTTGACTTCTATTTCTGAACTTCAAAATTTAGAAATTAACAATTTTTTTTTAATTAAAGATGAACATGGTCCTGGAAAATCTGCTCTAGGTGATCTTGCTTGAACAGTGGGGTTGGGCAAGATGACATCCAGAAGTTCCTTATGACGTCACCTATTCTGTGATTCCATGAAATAAGAAAAATTATGAATGTATAAACAAAGAAAATGAATGCTTTCAAAATAGTTTCCCCCTTCAGTTCCTCTGTTATACCTCCTCCTTTCTACCTTATGTGCTTTAGAGCTCTCAGTGACATAGATCACCTTCATATTTTTGAACCACCTACCTACTAACAGATCATTCAGTCTCTAAGCATTTCACTTTTTATTGGTGATTATGAAATTATTATGTGAGATTATAAGATTACACATTGATTGTATCTCATACAGCTTAATTTCCTTCTGGGTAAGAACTCATGCTGTCATCTTGTTACCAGACCAAGGCTGAGTAGAGGTTTTCTATTTTGTTTTATCCTGTTCTGTTTTTTAAAATGATAACACTAAAATAAAAGGGAAATATTTAGGGGCCTTCAAACAGTAACAGTGAAAGAAGAAACTACTACTTAGTTATGGAAGATGATTTTCCCCTTACATTTCAGATAACT